AGTCCATCAATAGCTGCTACAAACCCTCAGAATGCAGCTATCAATTCAATAGAAGGCCTCTGCCATAGACCCCCCAGCAGTGTCGTAGCTACTGGGGACTTTCTCAGGCGTAGGAAGCTGCAGGATTGTCCTTATGGCCAGCAGGCCTTCATTCCGTCCGGCCAAATCCATCAGTAGCTGCAAATCCTTGAGTAGCTTCGATTCGACGGTTACTGCAGACCTCCTTCTGCAGTCACTCTTCTTCTCTTTTCTTCTCGTCTCTTCTCTTCGCCTCTCTCCCTCAATTCAGTAGCTGCCGCAGGTCTGTCGCGGCCAATCCATCGGCTGCCATCTTTTTATTCATTCCCTCCAAAGGCAACACTCAATCTGACTCCAGGGCTCAATCTGAATATCTTAATAGCCTTCCGGCCAAAGCATCCAATCCGGTTGTGGCACTCGCGGCGCTATTGAGATGAACCCTCTGGATAGGCTCTATCACAAAGAGCAGCAGGGGCAAACATTTGGCATCTGCTAAGATATTAAAAGCAGCCACAAGTGCAACTGGCCTGGCAACAGGGAACAATATCTGCAGTAGCAATTAGACTAGCAAGATACCGAAGCCTCAGATCGGCGTCTATGCGTAGGGCTAAATGAAGATCGTGGCAATCAGCAATCCAAATACAGACAGCTTGGCAATGAGCCCGGCAGGAACCCTAATTAACTTCAGGGCTTCCAAGGCAGAAGGAGGTTGAAAGCACATCGACTTGTCAGAAGCTTGCCAATTAAAATCTTCCAAATTAGCCAGCCGCCTGACTACGCTGATCAAATTCAACGACTTCGGCCAAGCCTAGCCTCAAGCCTCAACTGCAGTGGCTCTACTGCGAGCTTCCAGATGAGCCTAAATTTCGTCAAAGTTGGCAGGCAGCTTACATTTCTTTATATTAGTAGTAGTAGTAGTAGCAGCAGCAGCATCAGCAATATGGGCAACGGGAGCAGTGACGTTACCACATTAGCGGAAGTATCAACGCGTATTACAATAGAAGCCATCAAAAGCTCTGATCGGTAACTGTCACCTGAGCCCCTGAATAATGAGTGGAATGAATAACCCAGCGTAAACGCCGCAGAATGCCATGCCAGCTGGTAAGAGAGCCCTCACCAACTATTTAAGGGGCCTCAGATTTACTAGCTAGAAGGACCCAAACCAAGGACCTCTTTAATTATTCAATTGATCCATATCTTCCAACCGCGACAAGAAGCATCCTGTGAACCGACCTTATAGAATACGTACTATCAACAGAGGCAGCCAGAGGCAGCCCTTTCACCTCCTTAGGCCGTCAGTGTCCTAACACGCTTTCCAACAGACTGTTGAACGACGTCTTCCCTAGCCACATTAGTCCACATGTACGGTCATTTTCCCTCAGTACCCCGTACAGAGCACCCCACACAGGAGCTGACAACTTAAATATTGTGTGTGATCCAGCCCGTCATTCACGAGATCAGGGCGCAAACATGTAACGGGGCATTATCCTCGTTTCATCTAGACTTGTTGGAGACACCAGGCATGAAGGGATCAGTTCATTGAATAGCCAGTTACAATCATGATACTTGCCAGCAATACAAGGTGGATGTGAGAAGCCAAGAACCTTGGCCATCAGAGAGGCCGCTGTGTATCTCTCACCCTTGGGAAGCGAGCTATGAATGTATTGCACGGAAATGACACATTGAGACGCCTGTCCAACCCCACGGAAGAGCGAAAGAATGAGTAGGTCAAGGGATACCCGACACAAACAAGCTCGCCAACAGTGGCAAAGAACGAGAGGCCATTATCATTTTGCTACTTAGAACCAACACAGAGCACAGCTAAGGGTCCTTCAGTACGTTAAATTAAAATATACTCCCCTATTGGAAACGAATGTTGCCGAATCCAAGCTAAGAATCCTTTAAGCTACTAGGGGCGACCTTCCTTGTTCTGTTCGCGGGGTAAGGTGTTTAGATTTGCCTTTGGAACCCATCCAACATCCAAATGGCTATAGGAAACTCAATAATTCAGGGGCGAATTTGGGTTCCATGAGGCTTTCAATCTCTTGTTATTAATGACTCCAAGGGATTTGTTAGCGCCTGTATTACGGTCTTCGTGCGCCCTTTACCTTGCCCAGGCATAGCTGTGTTCGTTTTCTTGATGCTGCGAACATGATCTTGGGTGTTAGTTCAATCCACGACATTGAAACGGCATTAGAAAATGAAGGTTGGAGGCATTTTCTTATTACCAGGAAGGCCAGTCACGGACCCATTCGCCATATATAAAAGGAATTCCTGCGATGTTCGTAAATAGTCGGTATCAAGGGGGCGAGAATGTCATTCAACACCTTGATGTCACACCAAGAATGCATGCGGCGAGACCGCCGAAGCCAAGTAAGCGGCGAAATATTGTATCTACTTTCTCACTCCTTGCTATTATTAATCACTCAACTGCCCTATGGGAAGTCAATAGATGGTGACTTCACAATCTTGACTGAATGTAATGCCAAAGTTCATTTTTAGTATCTTGGTGGTTGTTGAAGGATTCACTGCCCGTAAGACAAACTGCTTCAGCTCTGAATGCAGTCCCATGAGGCCCGCGAGATAGATGGAGAGCAAGTGTTCTTTCAAGTTAATTCTGCCTGCAGATGTCTTCCTAGTGGGTTCCAGATACTCTCAGCATATTCCGTTGAGGGAGTGGTAAACTTTGATAGGCTGTCGTAACACGAATATCCCTATAGAACGCCTTGCCATGCTTGACCGAATACAAAACACCCACTACACAATTACCCTTGTAAATGTGTTAATCCCAATATCGAATTTCACCGTCCATTCCCGCCGACACAACTTTACTAGTCTCCTGCGGATGCCACTTTACGCATGTCACGGCTTGATTGCCACTCTTGATTTTGTGATACATTTTGCACGTCTTCCAATCCCAGAAGCATACAAAGCCACCTGAGTCACCTGATGCTAGGAATTGTCCGTCCGGACTGCAGTCCAGGTCTATGGCCAGCCCAGCGTTATTATGGCCCCTATAACTTTTTTTCCGATTTTGGCGAAACTTATCATTGGCCCCGTATACGAGGATCTGATTATCAGAGCTCTGGTATGCGACGTATTTCCCGCTAGGGTGAGGAGCCGCGTTCGTCATAGGATACATGTCCGGTTCGGCAACGTATTTGATTGGTACAGGAATATTGTAGTCCCATGCACGGAGAGACTTGTCATCTGAGGTGGTCATAAAACGACGGTTCTGATCCACAAAAGTAATTGTATTGATTGCAGCAAGATGGTGGTCGTACTCTTGGACGATTTCATTGGGTGTTCGCACGTCAAATTGAACGATTTTCTTGTCCGACATCCCCGCCAAAAATTCGCCGGAATGTTCTGGGTCGGGGTTGAACTTGATAACGTGAGGGGTCTTGCCCGTGGTGAACTTGCTGATACACACGCCGGTTTCTGTGTCCCAGAGCTTCATCATTCGGTCGTAGGAGGCAGAGAGAAATTGTGTACCGGAAGAGTTGAAACAAACGTCTGAAATTGCCTTGGAGTGGCCTGAGTACGTTCGCAATAGCATTCTGTCGTGATAAACGTCTCGAATTCTGACAGTAGCGTCGGCACTGGCGGAGAGTAATAGATGTCCTGAACCGGGAAAGAAGCGCAACGCAGTGACGGCTTTTGCGTGGTCTTTCCAAGAAAAAATCTGCTTCTTGGGTATGTAGTTGGTCGCGCTGCCATTTTCTTTGTGCAGATCGACATCTAAATCTCGGGGGACGTGCATGTATGATCTCCCTTGGTAGTCGTACTGTTCAGAGCCATGAAAGGTGGTCGTTTCGTCCCCGAGCTCTGCGACTTCCTTTCGTCGCGCGAGCGCTACCTCTGGCGCTTGAAGTATCGTCCCACTCTCCACCACGTCGCTGTTGTCATCGCCGTCACCGTCCACAACCTCATACTCCTCATCGCTGCGAAGTTCTTCATCGTCATCAATCCCGTCGCACTTGGCACGATTGTACTTGGCCCAGGGCCCAATGTAGGCTCCAGCTCCTTCCACTACTGTAGCATCCCCTTTGTTTTCTCGTGTGGCTCGTAATCGCACTGCTTCCGCCTTCAGTGTGGCACTATTTTGATACTCTCGTTCCAGTCCTCCATTTCTCTCTATCGCCCTGTGTTTGCTTCGAAATGTGTGCTCACTCAAGAATGTCTCATTCGCATGGCCTGTTAGTAGATTTTTGCGCTTGAGAGCAGTTGGATCATTCCTCAATGAATTTGCAGGACCAGCTGGGGAAAGTGCTAGGCTTTCACGCGAATAAGGAACTACTGCGTGATCCTTTGCAGTCTGTTGTTGTTGGGCGACGAACGCATCTTCTGGGGCCATATTTGGCGGATATTCGCCAAAGTCGGCCATATTGGCTATTTAGGAAGTCGAATGTAGTTCTTTTGGTTATAAACGAAGGCGGGAGTTCAAGTGTTCGCATTCAGGCACTAGACTGGATAAGGGATTGGGTGAGCGGTCGGTCACGTGACGCGAACATAGATCTTGCTTGTCTGCCTTTCGCCATTCATAGAGTTTGGTCTAAAGCACGAAATGTGTCTTATTGTAAGGTCACTTATTGATGTTATTCCCGAAAAATCGAGGTATACCAATTAAGCATTCGCACAACCCCATGGGGCAGCGAGGAAGCTAAAGCAAAGAGGCGTGAGACATCTACAGATATTACCATACGAGAAAGCCCCTCCCAAACAAACGCCGTAGTGCCAACAGGCATCTGTAAACCAAAGAGAGTTGAAAATTCGTCTCTTACAACTCATATCTTTATTCCTTCTTGCCATCTCTCGTCGTACACCTAAAAAAACCACCCTGCGCAACTTCAATTACTGCGCATACAATGTGGAAATTCCGAGGCGAGGGATTTCAGCCAAGAACAGGAGAGCGTTATTTTACTCCAGCCATATGTAATGCCGACTTATACCTTCACTCGATATCGATGACAAGGTTTAGGTTAGGATGATTCATCTCGGATAAGCGCCACAATCATGCTGTACAGGTAAAAGAAGAACATAACAAGGTGAAAAGCCAACTTGGCGAACGACTCCTGTTTGTGCCGATTGTTAGTATTAAAGTCAGAGGGCATTCAAAATTAATGATACGAACCTTCTTGTGAATGTTCAGCTTCCGGAAGATTTCTGTAGCGTCCAACAAATGGGTGTTATCAACAATCCTGCGTAGTTTGTTAGCCGGCAAAACCCCACGCGTTACACAATCCAGAAGTCTCACTTTTTGGCATTCCAGGCAAGCAGGGGCAAGTTTAGGATAAGTGCCAGCCAATAGCCATTGATAAGGAACAGAAAAGTCAAAAATCCATGTACGGCAGCTTCGGGAATAATATAGGCGTTTAAGCGGTTGCAGAGCTCGATTGGGTTGATGTAATCACTTTGATGTTTGTCAGTCTACATTACGCCAAAATTGATAATAGCTTTCAAACGATATCGCCAGTGCTCTGACTCGTCAACGTGAAAGTGGGAGATGATCGCAACATACCATTCCAGATCGCTATACATGATAGTGAAGAAGACCTGGAGGAAAAGGTTGACCGCGTTGATCAACACAGCCAGCAGGTACAGCCAAGCCTCTCCGGACATCATGACGGCACTTGGGGCTTAGATAGGGGCTGAACTTTGTATACAGAGAACAGCGTAGGCTGCGAGCGCAAATACCGGCGTCTAATTTTGCTGTATGAATCGTGCCACGAAGGATTGGATCGGGGTGGGAAAGGGGACAGCGCAGGAGCAAATGCTAGATACTGAAATAGCCTGGCGTGCGGACACGTTAGATGCTGAAAAGGAGTGCCTGAAGAACTTTCTGAGCTTCGGAGCCGAGAAAGAAGCAGTTTTGCCGGCGCAGCGAATGGTTGAGGAAGCTGGGGTCGCGAGAAAGGAGTTTGCGTTATGCGAGAATTTGTTGTGGAACGGGCGGGTTGAGGTCCATCACTGTGAAGGCGTGGGTTGTTAGCGACGGCTGGTGGCGGGTGAGCGCCAATTTGGCAATTTGCAGCTTGTCCCCGAGGCTGTCTTCGTGGGTGGCGGGAGCCGCGTGGTCTGTGCTTCAAACCATACATACGTGCCCAAGCATGCTGAAATCGGTGGCGGGCGTCAAGCTGCCAACTACGGAGTACCCAGGTCAAGTTTTGCTGGTTCAAGGTGATCAATCACGGACATGGAGTGGAGCTTTCGGATGAGTGGGAGCTGTCGCCCGGCCCGTCCTTTAGGCCGCTATGCCTGATGACACTGGAATCCGACGATCGGTCACTCGTTTTAACGTTACGTTATTGTACTTGGTCCACTGCAACCAAGGCCTGCATTGGTATGGATATACTTCATGGAGCAGACAAGCGCTAACTCTTCAGTACTTTGAGCGCCCAGGCATGTAAACCACCTGTGTACATCTCAATCGAGGCGTATCACTGCTCTCTGGCACCCAGAACAACGATTATTGCGTAGAAGCCCCATTCCCGGAGGAGAGACTGCAGTAATACCGCACCCTAGCCGCCATAACCGTCTCATCGCTTGCCCCGAGCAAACACAAGCAACGAGACTAGTAGGAAACCCATTATTTAATACCTGCCACCACAGTTCTCAAGCTGTAGCATAAAGCGCCTAAAGCTCCTTCCCACCGGTTGGTCCATTGGGTGTCAAGTACAAGTACAAGTTTACATGAGCTTCTGTCTTCAGAAGATTCCAATACTTCATGCTAACCAGCATCCTCGAGCAAGCACAGAAATCCTCAACACCTATGTAATATCAGGAGACCGTGTCTTACTTTTGTCAAGCATCCGCAGCCTTCCCATTTGATACTTCTGGCATTGGCATGGGCAATGCACCACCAGGCGAGTCATCCCTCCTCGCCGTCAATATCTCAACTCCATCTTCCGTAACCAAGAGAGTGTGCTCTAGAAAAGCAATTAGTCGAAACGAACAGTCGAGTCGAATATATGTGCATACCGAATTGAGCAGTTCGTTTCCCATCGATGGTCGTGCTGGTCCAATTGTCCGGCCAAGTTATATCACGATACTTGCCGAGCGCAATCATCGGTTCAATGGTAAAGGTCATGCCGGGTTTACATTCGCCAATGGCCTTGTTTTTGGCATAGTGAGGCACATTAGGGGCACAGTGGAAAAGCTTGTTAATGCCGTGTCCGCAGTAGGTCCTAATGACGCTGCAATTTTTCTTTTTCGCATGCTTTTCGATAATGTTGCCAAACTCGCGGATGAGAACACCAGGCTTGACGGCCTTAATGGCCTCCTCAAGGCATTCCCGAGCTGCTTCGACAACTCGTACATTGTCAGGGTCTGCCTTGGCCCTGTCGCCGATGTAGTATGTTTCGTTCAGATCAGCATGGTAGCCTTCGTGGAAGAGCGAAATATCGATATTGAGAATGTCTCCGTCAATAAGGATTCGCTGGTCAGGAATTCCGTGGCAAATAACTTCGTTCACTGAGGTACAGCATGACTTGGGGAAGTGGTTATAGTTCAGCGGGGATGGATAAGACTGTTCGTCAATTTGTCAGCTCTATCAAATATACCAGCTGCCGCACACATCAAATTGACAAGGGGCTGAGAGTCAGTGATTGGAACAGAACTGCCGAGGCAGAATTTTAACTCACACTTCTCTCGATACACGCTTTGTGAACCACCTCGTCAATGTAGTCAGTTGTAACACCAGGTTTGGCGGCAGCCGCCGCGATATCAAGTACTTCCCGAGCTAAGCGACAACCTTTTCTCATTGCTTCTTGCCCTTTCGCATCGAGTATTTCAATCTTGTTTCGATTCGTCAAAGATCGGCTGTATCTTGGATTTCCATCTTGCCACCACACGGGGTGGGGAATGGATTTGGGAACGGTACGATGTTCGGAGAGAGGATAGACAGGCCGAAGCGGTCCAGAAAAGGGGAAACTCGGGAATGGATTATAAAACCCTGTAGCTGGTTCTGGTGAGATTGCTTTCGGAGCGATCAGGTGGTGGAGGATATTACTTTGGGCCTTGTGCACACTCTTGTGGTTGCTCTATAATTGAATCAATATCGAATGTAGAGACATGAGGCAAGTCCTGGTCGGACTTTCCACGAGCGTGTATAGCTTATAAGAAGATTCAATAATTGAAGCGCAGTGCAGTTTGGTTCATACCCAATTTTTCTTAAAGCAGTCTTGAGAACAGAAAAAGCTGTCCTTCATGCCAAGCTTGATGCAGGTCGGGCATTGCAAGGACCCAGCGTTGTTCTCGCAGTCAACACCTAAACACTTCTTCTTCAGCGGTGGTTCAGATGCCATCATTGAATGAATGGCGACGTTCAAATGAGTCGATTGACAATTTGGTAACGAGTGAGTACCTGTGAGAGGTGATGTTGTGATCAAATGCAAACGTAGTAGAGCAGCGTGACTCTGTCTCTGTCTGGAGGCACGGAGTGGGGCTGGATGAAGGCTATGTACAGTGCGTGATAAAGACAAAAAAAATTATTCGGCCTCTGGAGGCAACCACCCCCAGTTAGCGAGCGAGCGCCCCGCCTGGCCCAAGATCGATTGACGATTATCACTGATTGAGATTATGTAACATTGGGTCAGGAAAATGGCGGAAGCAGAAACGGGAACGGGAGCGGGAGCTCAACATCACCTTTTCCTAGTGCCCAGACGAATATCAAGCTCAATGGCTCTGTGGAAGCCTTGAGCAAAGCCAAACACCATTTTGCCCGTGAGCAAACATTCGTGTTGATGCAAGGTCACAACTAGGTTGAAGAGGGCCTGTAAGCAACTGCACAGAAAAGTCAATAGCCTCTAGCCACGCCATTTTTTAGTGACAGCAAGTCTTCTGGCAGCAACCAGACAAAATTTGATACAACAGGGCAAGCGCGCTGTGTTTAGAATGACTACGTCCCGGATGCTTGGAATTATATTAACAGTTTTTTGTCCCGCCTTTTCAAAGCTCTTCAACGCCAGGAATCTACCCGGCTACCAAGGTACCTATTACCCATTGCAAATTGTCACCGGAGATGCAGGCGACTTGAGTGCGAGCCCGAGGACTGGAAAGTGTAATAGTGGGTCCTAGCCCGAAAGGCAGGGCAGGCAGTCGGCCAAGCGCTAAAAATGAATCAAGCCATCCGGTTGTCGGCGACAAGTTATCTTTCGAAGCTCTTTGGATGAACGTCTCATAGCACTGCTTCAGCCCGGATAGCTGTATTGTCTTCAATCATTGACAATTCCTCACCGGGGAACCAATTCCTGAATCATGTCTGCTACACAGAAGACAGTCGTCGTTGGGGCTGGGCCTGTCGGCTCTCTGGCTGCTTTATTTGCCGCTCAGCGTGGTCATGAAGTTGAGGTCTATGAACTACGCCCAGGTAAGACTTCTTCGGATCTGAACATACAAGACTATGTCCGTGTTTCTTCTGAGTCATATGTCACGCTTTCATGTTTCTTGTTCTCTCTCTCATTTCGCGTCTAGCGTTAATCGGTCCCTGCAAGCCTGCCCTCCAGTCCCGGTCTTTCAAGTTGTCCAGAGAAGAATGATGGACAGAGTACTCTCACTTCCATCTTAACTTTGTCTGCTCCTTCCTCTTTCCCTTCTTGCTGCGATTCCTGCTGCTTCTCTCTTCTCCACCGCTTCTATCCCACCCATTTCCGCCCTCGACGAGGTGGCAACTACCCAACTTCTTCACTAGTGTTTGTGAAGTACTTTAGAATCTAACAAAAATGAAGATTTGCGCAATCCCGGAACAATTCCCTTGAACTTCACAAAGTCAATCAACTTGGCCATATCAGAACGTGGCATCAACGCAATGCGGAGTGCCGGCCATCCCAGTCTACTCAAAACAGTAATGACCGGCACTATTCCAATGCGAGGTCGCATGATCCACGGCAAGAGTCCATTGGGCGATCTCTATGAACATGCTCAAGACTACGATGCAAAAGGGCGTGTATGTCAAAGACTCAGCTCCTGGCCTCTAATCCGTTGACCGTCTCGTATACTGACACTAGATAAAGGCCATATATGCCATTGATAGATCCGGACTAAACGAGAAACTTCTCAACGTCCTAGACTCCATGCCGAACGTCAAATTGTTTTTCAACCACAAGCTGACTGGAGCTGATTTTCGCGCGCGGCGAGCTTGGTTCGAAGCCCGCGACGTAGATGTATCCCCTAATGGTCGCCCAAGGGAAATTGAGATTTCGTTCGATCTCATGATTGGCGCCGACGGAGCCCATTCCGCAGTGAGGTACCACATGATGAAGTTTACGAGAATGGATTATCAACAGGAATACATCGATACCCTTTGGTGCGAGTTCCGCATCGAGCCGCAGGAAGCGCTATCACACGGGGAGAATGGGGCAAAATTTCAGATCTCACAAAACCATTTACATATTTGGCCGGGTCGGGACTTCATGTTTATTGCTATCCCAAGCGAGGTAAGGGTGTTTTCGCTCCCACCCTTGATTCGACATGTGCATGCTAAGTTGAGCACCACAGGATGGATCGTTTACAAGCACCCTCTTCCTTCCTAGCAAGCAGTTTGCTGAATTGGAAAACAACCCAGCTCAGCTTCCGTCTTTCTTTGACCAAAATTTTCCAGGAGTAACCGACCTCATTCCCAGAGAAAGCCTCATATCATCGTTTCAGTCAAACCCCCATCTACCACTAATCAGCCTTAAATGTCGTCCGTATCACTACAGCTCCTCTGGGGTCATCGTTGGAGACGCAGCCCACGCAATGGTGCCTTTTTACGGACAAGGCATGAACGCGGGAATGGAAGATGTTCGTATCCTTTTCTCCATATTCGACAAGCATAACGAGATGCTTGAGAACAACAATTCCCTTGTCGAGGGTCACAAATCATCTCCCATGTCTATGTCTTCGAGGGCTGAGGCATTGGCGGAGTATTCGGATATTCGTGCACCAGACGCATATGCTATCAACGAACTGGCCTTGCAAAACTATGTTGAAATGAGGTCTTCGGTGCTATCCATGCGTTATAGACTGCGGAAATTCTTGGAGGAGTTTATGAGTGTTAACTTTCCAAACTTTGGTTGGCAAACGAAATACTCTAGAGTCAGCTTCAGTAACCAAGGTTACAGCGATATTGTGAGGCAGAGCGACCACCAGGGTCGAATACTTATGCGGGTATTTGCTGCGTGCGTCACAGGTCCTGTCGCCACTGCATTCTTGATTTTTGGATATCAATATAGGAAGCCTCTGCTTTCCACGGCAGCCGGGATCTTAGGTTTGAACTAGATTTAAGCCCATGAACAACATAATAAAAAAATTTCCGGTATCATAAGTACTTATATCTACGCAGCGAGTTTATGTCCCCATAATGTGATGCGCAGCGTGTAAAGGCCTTCAAAGCCGCCCTTTCTTTCCTTTCCCATCATGGTATATCCTCTAACTCCTTTTATGATCGTTCATATGTTATCTGTTCATCACTTGAATTCCCCTTGCGTATCGGGTCATGCCACCTGTCAGAGAGCAATACGAAGACGCTTTTCGGCAAAGCATTGGCGCTGGAAACCTAATACATATTCACTCCTTTGAGCGTGAAATATAATCACGGACAATGAATTGAAAGTCGCAGACAGGATAGTAAGAACCTCGTTGCTGAGCAGATCGAGGTCAGAAAGTATGTTTAGCCCAGCATACCTACTGACTTGCTAAAAGAATCACAGTGGCCAGCTTCGTTCGTCGTCGATCTGCCGAAATACACAATAGGGCAGATACTAAAGTATCTACCTAGGTACTTAAATGTACCCGATTTATTCGGCAGCGTAGCGATGGAAAAATCTATGTAGATGAAGGGTAAAATACCATATCGATACCCAGGTCGGTACATGGGCAATTGAACAGGTATGCAGATCAATTGGTCGATAGAGTATCAACGTTCGGAGCATGGACAAGTTAGTGCATTTATGGCGGAAAAATTGCTGCTGGCACTTTCCCTTCTCTATTGTAGAGTCTGGTTAAAGAAGGCCCAGTGCTCCAGGGGCATGCTCCTACAAAATGTGTGGCTTAGTCATCCCTTAATTTTTTACCCCAGGATTCGACCCGACGATAACACAGTGATCCTTTGAATGATTATGCGAACACTTGATTTCCAAGCACGGTTGCATGTTAGCTTATGCCAACGCCATTAATTCCTACCGCTAAATCAGTCGTTAGCGACCAAGGCCCATTTCCCGAATCTGTTTGTGTCCCTCTCATATTGTACCTTGGTCGTCATGCTAACATTAATTTTTAAAAGACCTAGCAACCACTGAAGTCGGACTTGTCCCAGAATCTGCGAGGCTTGATTTCTGTCCAGTCAGCAGTCAGTCCCTTACATTTCGAACCATCGAGTCGTTAAATCAGTATCAACATGCCCTCCGTTCTCAATATAGCGCACATGTGCTCCCACCTCCAAAATGCATCCAAAGCCCGCCTAGGCCTCACGTCCATCTCCAACAACAAATACAACCTACACCTCGCGCTCGCTCTTCACCGCTCAGGCTTCTTCTCGTCCGTTTACCGATCCGGTCCCCAGCCCCCTACTGCAGAGCAAATGATTTCACAACCACCAGAGAGGGTCACAACTGCCAACGTAGCCAAGATGAGGATATGGCTGGGCCTCAAGTACTGGGATGGGAAACCGGTGTTGTCGAAAGCAACTATGATCAGCAAGCCCTCCAGGTTGATGACTGCCGATATTAAGGAGTTGGGAAGATTGACAAGAGGATTTCCAGCGAAATTGAAGGGTGGTGTAGTTCCGGGTCTAAATTTAGGGGAGTGCATATTCGTGGCCACATCAAGGGGAGTCCTGGAAGCGAGGGAAGCATTGGCAAGGAAGGTAGGCGGTTTGCTGATCTGTAGGATATCATGATGGTGTTAGACGAGACTGGACATGCATTTTTTGTTGAGCATATTGGCAGCTTCCTCCCCCGTTTCGCAGATCTCTCATATAATTAGAACCAAAAATGGTCGCCCCTTGGTAGTTGGATGCAATTACAGCACGTACATGTCACATCGGACCACTCTTAGCTGCCACTTTCAAATCGAATGCTTAATTGTGCAGCTATGCAAGGTATCTGTTCTGCTAAATCTAAACAATCCCAACTAAATTGCGCCGCCCAAGCAATGAATAAGGGAAGAAAAACCAAGAATTGACAATGGACAGGGTCGACGACCACGTATCAATCAACTTGCCCATGCACCCGCTACGTGACCGTGCACCTGCACATCCGTGCTTTCAGGATTGCTGCTCGGAGAGGTTCAAGCATGTTCTGTTTCTAGAGCCACCTCTGCCGTGCCCTCATGGCCTTGAACCGTAGGTTGCTTCTGTTCATCCGAAACAGCTTCCATTTTAGGGATACCGTCGGGTTTATCGCCGCCAAGATCGGTCTGTATGATCTCCAAAGGTGAAGGGCTGTTTATTTCTGGTACAATGTGGTTTCGAGTACTTTGAATCACTTGTTGAATGCTCTGTTCATATGGCTGGTTGACATCAAACGGCGAAGTACAAGTTTCAGGGGTATGTTGCGCAGCAAGATCCATCTCGACTGGATCACTACTCTCATGACCCTCAGCAGTCACAGGCTCCTCGTTGGCCAGACTATTCCCAGCTGGACCTTGAGGTATTTCTTTCGTCTCTGACACTAGGTCAGCCTTGCAGTTTTGCTGCTTACTTGTGGCTTCTGGAGCCGCATCATCAACCCCCTCAATTGCACCAGGCCGTTTATCCTTGCTAGCTATCTCGTCGCTGCCAACAGAACTAGAAGCTTCCATCAGCTCAACCAGTGGTGTGGGCCCTGCGGCAACGGAAGCCTTGGAATCGTCAGCTTCCTCTCGTAACTGACTGTTGTGGACAAGATCATTCCTGGCTGAATTCGTGTTGCAAGTCGAACCAGTGATCAGGGCTTCAAATCTTTTCGGTCCTTCTGGAACAGCTGACACGCCCTTCTCCTCGATTGTGTACTTGGTGGCAGGATTTGGAGGAGACCTGGCCTCTTTGTCTGCATTTGCTATTTCCGATCGATTATTGGCGTCAATATGAAGTTCGTTGCATTCTTCCTCAGATTCGGGGGGGTCAGGTTCATCAGTAGGACCAGCTAGTGGCGCGGAGGTTGACTGCAATGATGCAGGCACTGGGATCCTTTTACCATGAAGGCCCCTACTGCTCGCCGACCTTGGGAGTGCCTGATTCCCATTCTCACCACCCACCGGTCTCTGGGCCGTTCTTTTTGGTGGAGTGACCGGAGCTTTATCAGTGGCTTTGGAAGACGATGACTGTGTAGGGCGCATCATACGTGCTAAGAATCCTTCATCTACATTGCTCTGCTTTTTGTTACTGGCCGTAACTTGCGACTGTTTGTTTGGAGGAGGCCCGAGACTCGGTCGGGACCTAGACGAAGAGGAGACTTGCCCCTTGTTGAAAGAGTGTGAAGCCGTAGAATTTGACATATTTGGTCGAATACTGGGTTGAGCTGGGTTATTTTGAGTTCCGGATTGGCGGGAAAGAGGCCGACGAGTTACGTGAACTTTCGATACCGAAGAAGCTGTCGGTGCGGTGAGTGATGATGGCATTTGAACTTGTTTGGTGGGTGATTTTGGCTTCGGCTTGATAAAACCCGCATCATTCTGGCTCTTTGTCTTGGCAGGTTGGCTTTTGGCTACAACCCCTGATGGAACCGTTCTCGCTTTGGTGGATGAAGTTGCCCCGGTATTGGCTTTCTGGGTCTTATCAGCAGATAACGTGCTGATTTTGAGGCCTCTATTATTCGCCCTTGATTCGGGTCTTGCAGCAGAAGTTGCACTGAAACCTTTCGTCGGCCCTGTCGTCATCATTTCAGCTTGAATAGAGAGATGTCCATTGTGCTTGATGCCGTGGGAGCGATTCGTAGCCGAGACAGAATTTAATCCTGCGTTTCCCGCGGAGCCTGTTCCTCTTTCTTCGCTCTGGAGGTGTGGAGGCGAACCCAACTTCATTTTGACTTCCATGTGCGCTTTGTCCAGTTGTGAGCCTGCGTCTACAGAAACCCCAGCCTGTTCGTGGGACATTGTTCTCGGAGATTCGGGGATAGTCTCGCTGGCGATGTTGCGACGTGAAGCTTTACTCACGTCGTCTGATGGTACTGTATTGGGATTCTCAAGATAGTTGCTGTTGAGTTCGGTGTCTGCAGTTTCGGTACTCATTCGTCTTCTCGACAAGCTCGATTCGCCGCTGTGATCTCTTCTTAAACCCATGCGGCCGTCCTTTTCAATTGCAACAAAATTTGTGCGAACCTTGGAGAGCGGCCGCGGCGAGCCATTGGAGCTGGCGTCTGCATCACGAAAGCATAAATCAGCTTAAATCCATAATAAGCCCCTCAATAACTTGGTGACATTGCTAAAAGGGCAAGCGTTCCTCTAACAACCTCAAGCCTGGCTTTGGCATGGCAAACAGGGACTTCTGCTTAGGCGAGTATATGACAGTGAAAGTAGCAGGTACAGCACAGTCGATCAGGCTGAGGCTGAAGAACAACTTCGATAAACCAAACCCCCCCTTCCCCGGGACTTACTTCCGATATGCCTACTGGGCGTGATGCCTGGAGATCTCCCTCTGTCAGGCGGGCTTGTATCGCCTTTGTTTTCAAACATGGCTCGCAGGTTCTTGACCTGGCTCATCTTTGCTCTGGCTTGGAACTCGGTAGAGAAAACAATGGTTCAATATTTGACTGGTGCAGAGAGAATGACAGATGGCCAAAAACGATCGCGACAAGGCTTTGAACGCGAGACAAAAGCAAATTGCAAAGCATGGCAATGACCCCATAAGGCCTGTAACTACTAGACGGTACTTGAGCTTGGTAGTACTCTCTAAAGTCATCATGGTACTAATACGAAACAAGGGGCTGGCAATCAGGTTACCCCTGGGTCTGTTTGTCTGGTGTGGAGCAACATTGAAGGACCAGCTGTACTCCGTACATACCAGACACTAAGTCTGCTAGCATACAGCAGACTCAACCTACCTGAGGCACCTAGTACGGAGTAGGTCAAGCTGGTGTTCGTCTTTGAAGCGTCAATTAGGTTATTCACGACCTTCAGCAAGCTTTCCCCCCCGGCGCAAACCATGCCTTGCTAACCCATCTAGGTAGTTGCCGACGATCTAGGATCTTCAAATCGAAATACAAAAGACTTGAATGTTTATGGGATCATACTGTTAGGGGTTCTTTTTGCGCCGAGTAACTGCCAAGACGGTAACTCTGGATTTTAGGAGATTCCTTAAAAAAAGCCAAAGTCGACACGAATTTGGCTACGCAGTGTTTTTTTTTTTTTCTTTTCCTTTTTTGGAGAAAACGGTTTGAAACATTGCGCTACGAGTTGATTGATGGAAATCTTTCAGGTTTTAGTTCAAAGGGCTCTGTTTCCCGCTTCAGTCCCAACCATTTTTGACCACGAGGCAGTCTGCCGGCTCTATCTTGCAGCTTGCTAATGGATCAACTCCAATCATGGGTCTTGTAAAAACATTAAGAGCAAAGACAGGCGTGGTGGCATGAACGACCACCCAATGCCTCCTGCCTCATGTGCTGTGAGGCGGGAGTAAATGTTCCCGATACTGAGGTGAAATGATATGGATGTACCTACCCCTGGACCTGGTATGTACTAAGTAGTACCTACAAGTAGGACAGCCTGGTTAGGGCAGACCAATGCTGTAGGGAGAAGAAACATCACTCACGCCCATATCTCATCTCCGATCTCGGCTTCCAGGGTCACCACAAAATTTCCACTCCAAACACCGCATTCGCTCCGTCATAATCGCAATTATTCACTTGTCAACAGCACAATTTGCCGCGGCAAGTAACAAGATGTCTGTCCGTACACTACGAATAGGTATGATTTTACCGACCCATCCATTTCCACAGCGCCCCCCCTAACCTCCAACCGAACAATGCAGGCCTCATCCCTGGTGACGGGATTGGCAAAGAAGTCATTCCAGCGGGTCGTCGGGTCCTGGAGGCCCTGCCCAGCTACCTCAACCTCAACTTCGAATTTGTCAACCTCAAAGCCGGCTTCGAAGCCTTCGAGCAGACCGGAACGGCCCTACCAGAAGCCACTGTCAATGTCCTTCGAAATGAGTGCGATGGTGCACTCTTTGGTGCGGTCAGCTCGCCAACTCATGCTGTCAAAGGTTACTCGTCACCTATAGTCGCCCTCCGCAAACGTCTCGACCTGTATGCCAATGTTCGTCCTGTTAAGACTGTTATGACTGCCCCCAAGCCTATTGACATGGTCATTGTCCGCGAAAACACGGAAGATTTGTATGTCAAGCAGGAGAAGACTTTTGATGGCCCTGACGGCAAGGTCGCAGAAGCGATTAAGCGCATTTCAGAGAAGGCTTCGCTTCGAATTGCCGCTATGGCTGGTGAGATTGCTGTTCGGCGCGATAGAATCAGGCAGTCGGGAGCCGCCAGTATTCACAAAAAGCCTCTTGTGACCATCACTCACAAATCGAATGTACTCTCCCAGACCGACGGCTTATTCCGCGAAGCCTCTAAGCGGGCGCTCGCCGATCCGAAATTTGCTACTGTCAAGGTAGAAGAGCAAATTGTTGATTCCATGGTGTACAAGCTCTTCCGCCAGCCAGAGGATTACGATGTCATTGTCGCTCCTAACCTCTACGGGGACATTTTATCTGACGGAGCTGCTGCGTTAGTCGGTAGCTTGGGCCTTGTCCCAAGCGCCAACGTTGGCGAGGGTTTTGCCATCGGAGAGCCCTGTCATGGCAGCGCGCCAGATATCATGGGCAAGGGTGTCGCAAACCCTATTGCTACATTGAGAAGTGCCGCACTGATGCTTGAGTTTCTGGACGAACCCGCTGCTGCTGCAAAGATTTATGCGGCCGTTGATGCTAATTTGGAGGAGGGTGAACTTCTTAGCCCAGATTTAGGAGGCTCGGCAACTACGGAGCAAGTGGTTGAGGATATTCTCAAGAAGTTATAGAACATATTACAAACATTCTTCTATTTCGTTATATATAGGCGCAACGGAAGTTTTGTAAAATTGTCTAGATATTCACTTGATCTTGCCGTAAATACATTGGGTAGTCCGTCTTCTATTTTCATGCAATACTTTCTTGTCTACCACCCTTCCAAACTCATATCGCAACATTTCCTGTGCGGCAAATGATCCATGAAACGTCAACTTATCGGAAACAGCTCTAGTCTACATATTGTTTTACATGAGAGAGGTATCACACCGCAGTCTAGTAAGAGTTCCAGACCAGGCACATATTTTTCGATCTATTTCGTTCTCTTCGCTTCGAGCTCAATCTCGTATTTAGCGATTAGTTCTTTCCTAAGCAATCAGTTAGCATACGATTCTTACTGCCCTCAACTTTAGCAATCAATTCGATTAACTCACTGCAAATGAGGCGGGGCAGGGGCATAATGGCTGAACTCCATGCTGAACTCCCCTTTCCCTTGCGTCGCAGCTCTTAATTGAGAACTAAAACCAAACATGGCATTGAGACTGCAGTCACAAATTAATGTGAAATCCTCATTTCCAATTTCAGTGTCATGAATAGTCGCATTTCTCTTATTCATGAGCATCAGAATGTTGCCCTGAAACTCATTAGGTGCTGTGATGGTTGTCTTCATCAACGGCTCCAAAACCTGGCCGCCCGCATCGGTGAATGCCTTTCGAAAGGCCATCTGTGTCGCCAGACTAAATGCATAATCAGAGGAATCCGTGACATGGGTGGCACCATCGTTGATGACCATTTTGGTTCCGATAACTCTGTGTCCAAGAAGAGGACCTTTTTCACAGGTCAGGTCGAAGCCCTTAGCGCAGGCTGTTAGAAATTTATCTGGGATATGGCCGCCTACAACTTGGCTTTCATAATGGTTGTCCTCCGGTGTCTCATTTGGCTCAATCCATCCAGCCACACGGGCAAAGTCACCGGGACCGCCACTCTGTCGGCGAAGTAAGTAATCGAACTCCGCACGACGAGAAATTGTCTCTCGATAGGCAACACGTGGCTGTCCAGTGATACACTCTGTCTTATACTCACGCTTTAACCGCTCAACGTAGACCTCAAGGTGCAGTTCGCCCATGCCAGAGATAATGGTTTCTTCGCTTTCAGGGTCCACGTGCACTCGGAACGTCGGGTCTTCACGCTGAAACCGATTCATAGCCTTACTAAAATTGTCTGCGTCGGCGGTTCGCTTTGGCTTGATGGATAGAGACATGACGGCATCAGGGACAAACATTGACGACATAGTATAAGGCAGACCTCCATCCGTGAACGTGTCTCCTGATGCGCAGTCAACCCCGAATACCGCACAGATTTCCCCTGCACCAACTTCAGACACATCTTCCATTTCGTTGGAGTGCATTCTGACGATGCGGGGGACTCGGACTTTCTTGTCCGTTCGAGAGTTAAACAGATACGTTCCCTTGGTGAGCGTTCCTTGGTAAACCCGGATGTAAGTGAGCTGTCCATAGTTGTTCTCTTCAAGCTTGAACGCAAGCCCAACGAAAGGTAACGAATTATACGGAACTAATTTGACGACTTGTTCGTCTTTCGACTTATCGAGAGCGGTATTCTCAATCTGTGATGGATTTGGTAGATAGTCACAAACAGCATCAAGCATTGGCTGTACACCCTTGTCCGCCAGAGCGGAGCCCATCAAGACGGGTGAGAAGTTGCGTGCAATCGTAGCCCGTCGGATAGCTGCTTTGATCTGCTCATTGCTGGGCTCCTGTTCCTCGAGAAAAATTTCCGCAATCTCGTCATCAACATCGGCCAATTTCTCAATGAGTACTTGGCGTTTTTCTGCTGCGAGTTCTCGCAAAGCGGTAGGGATGATGTCAGATCTGACTTTGGTTCCTCGGGGACCTTCGAAATATATCGCCTTCATCTCGATCAAGTCGACAACACCTTCAAACTCATCTTCAGCTCCAATTGGAATCTGGATTGCGGCAGCTGGCATTTTTAGTTTAGAATTGATTTGCTCCACGGCTTTCCATGGGTTGGCACCCATGCGATCCATCTTGTTGATAAACGAAATCCGAGGAACATTGTATCGCTTCATTTGACGATCCACGGTTGTGGTCTGCGACTGGACGCCACTGACGGCACAAAGAATCATGACGGCACCATCGAGGACACGAAGGGCTCTTTCAACTTCAATCGTAAAATCAATATGGCCAGGCGTGTCAATCAAGTTGAAATGATACGTCTCTTCCTTGCCATTTTCCTTTTTTTTCCAGTCACAGAATGTAGCCGCGGATTGAATAGTGATCCCTTTTTCTCTTTCGAGTTCCATAGAATCCATCTTCGCTCCAACAGCGTCTTTGCCCCTGACCTCGTGGATAGCCTTGATTCGACCAGTATAGAAAAGAACCCGTTCGGTCACCGTTGTCTTGCCACTATCAATGTGCGCCTATAGAAACAAAGCGTCAGCCATCGTCTGTTCGTAGTGAATTCCGATTAGTTCTTACCGCAATGCCTATATTTCTGACTTTGGAGAGCCTCTGCACCTCTTCGGGTGCCATATTGGCTTCAACATACTCAACTGTCAAGCTTGCGGCATCTTCTTGGGCTTTCTTCAACCTGCTCCGTAGGCAAAGAAAAATCTTAGTAAATTGATATAAATCCCAGTGCTTCCAGAAAAAGTATATAGATTTAGTTTGGTTTGTTTGTCTTACGCTTCTTGGGCCGCGTTGGCTAAGCGCAAAGATGTTTGGCTGAGGGCTCTTTTAATCGGGTAGCTCACTGTCGGCGGATCGAGCTTCCCGCGAAGCGAATTGACAGGCCGCCGTTGTATTTTGAGCAAAGAACGGCAGCCGAGTAGCCTAGCCACCACGGATGTCTTCATGGTGTGAATTGCGCTCAATGCATGCCAGAGGTTGCCAGTTGAAGTCACAGCAGATTTACCTAGCACAGGAATCTTTTAGGGGACCATGGCATGCGCCACTGCTAGTTATCGGGATCTCACGTGCCTTAGTGGCTTAGGACGGTCTGAAGCACTTCCTATTGGGCAATCGCAAGTCAGACAAATTTGTTAGCAAAAGTTTCGCAATCTATATAATTCGCATGTCAGGAAATAATCTCAATTTCATACATAGGTCTGGTTTGTTTGAACATGATTCTACTAGTGTCTCCGGCCCCTACAGTACACAAACCCAGGTGCGCAACGCTCCCCTAAACTCCCAATCCACCAGGTTTCAACCTCACAAGTACCTGGAACACCATGACAGAAAAGCAGAAAAGTATGTGATTGCCAACATTGGAAGAATGTCGAGAATAGAGAGAGAAACAGCTAATCAATCCGTAAAAATTGGGCTGCCCATCAACAGGGCGGTAATGGTCATGCTGATAAACGTCAACGAGAAAACTGACAGCGATTCAAGTGAGCAGGCCAAACTGCCTTCTTGAAACCCTTTTGCAGCAGATAGACCAGTTTGGGTTGGCTGCGACGGTATTCCCGATTTACTGCCATTGTTTACTGAAGTGGCCGAAGGGATAGCCGCTCCCTTGCTCGCAAATGCTATGACATTTGACTTTGTCGAATTGAAATCAGTTGGTGCAATGCCTACTTCATTATTCATCAAGTCATAGACGACATAGGCAGATCGTAGAAACGTGTCCCCTAGAAGCCATGGTGTGTCCGATGATTTTTGAATACCGAACTCGCAGATGGCTTGGCCACTATGAGGGCCTGATGAGAACGTCGGTGGCTCCCCATCTGTCAATGGCAGGATAAGCTCATCCATAGTGACATTGATGCGTGGACCATCAGGCCCAGAGAAAACGAAAGAGAAATGGCCGGCGTGACTTGCGTAAGAACATGGTATGATGGCTGTCTGGAAAGACATATCATCGTAGGTTGCTCCTACTTCGCTCCAAACTTGGGCTGCCATATCCGGAGGCAAATAGCTGAGAGTTGTGCCAGAATCGAGGACCACTTTCAAAGGTAGCTCTCTTGATGTCAAAACGTCATTTCCACTAGGGCTGGTGGCTTCAAGAGAGAACAAGGAAACAATGAAGTGGGTAAATTGCTGATTTTCGGGTTGTATGGGAAGCTTTGTCAAGTGTCCTACATATTTCTCGGTGTCGATACCACCAAAGAGAATATTTCCTGTACTAGCTCCCAGATCATTCAACCACAGGCTGTAGGCAACAGAATTTATGATACCAGCCTCCTGCATAGCTATGGGCAGGTTCGGGTATATCGCGTTTGCGGTTTCCGTCGATGCCTCGTTTCCAGCGTAGCCAACTCCTATCAGGCCAAACGGTACGTCCGTTTTCTTCCCCAGGCCCATAGTGAAGTTGTTTAACGATTTTGAGCCTATCTCTAGCTTGTCTGCAAAGTAGTCGCCACTTGCTGAGCTGTTGTCTTGATAGGATATATCGAATCCGTTTGCGACAATGACGTCGAACGTACCAGATTGGTCGAAATCAACTTGCAGCGATAATCGATTAGTCTGTGGTTGGTTCTGTTGATTCAAATTCGTATATGACATGACTTACAAGAGCCTAATGGGCACCCGCCTTGAGCTTTATCCAGACAGACAGGGGCTTGACTAGACGGTACCCAGACATCGCTGCTACCAGTGTCAAGCTGCAGAGAAAGCTCTTGGCCAGGTGTTCCAATTTGAACTGCCACAAAGTATCCTCCTTGAGCTTTATTATTGGATGCGTCCGACTGGAGGGTTCCCGCCCGGCGCCGGAGCCCGCTGGCCTGGTAGTGTTTCTGTATATCCCATTGAACCACCTGTCCAAACACAGCTGGCGCAAGTATGATCACTGAGGACACACAAGCGTCCACGGCACTTGAGTATTTCATACCGAAAGTTCCGATCGTATTTTCTAGAATACACGTATCAGAGACTGTCTAGCTGAAGTAGCCTAGGTCGCAGATTTGAAGCTGCTGCTCAGTTGCACGGCCGCTTCCAGGCTTCTGGCCGAGGCAAGAAGACGGAGGATCGGGGTAAGTTCCAGCTCGGAAAAAAAAACATCTAGGACCCAAAAGTGTTCGACCAAAGCTCTCCAAAAGACATTTATAATACGGCGAAAAAAAATATAGCGACATCGATGCTGCGGGTGCCGGCCACACCGGCCCATGAAAGTCTAAATAATGTCGGCAACGTCGATGCCGTGAGCGTCGTCATCCACAGACTAGCGGGAAATAGTCGGCGAGAGGCTGATAGCAAGCAGTGTCGACTTGTGGTGCTCAGCCACTCACACCCGTACACAAAGCCACAAATTTCAGACATAATCTTCCTAGGTACTTACCTAGTAGTAATCGCACGCTAAGACAGCCAACGCACATATAGTACATATATATCAGAACATCACTGTCTTTTTTTAATGAAATCTCTACACTATTAGAATATAATACGGGAAGTGCCGGCGCAACAATGAGTGCTGCGGCCCGAGGCGCTGGACATAGTTTGCTTACCTACTCAAGTAGGCACCAGTCATTTATCAGAGCCGATTCAGAAGGAGAAGCGAGGGGAGTCAGGGGACCAGTTTGCATGCGTGTGACACCTGTCCCACCAGTGTTTTGGTTAGATGCGGCCATGCGTTGAGGTAACGCTAGATAACATGGGTTGGGCCTAAAATAGCAATAAGACCAAGAGTAACCTGAAGATATGCGGATCAACAAATTCGTACCCAAAACTATACCTAAAATAGTTACAATTCGTCGAGGCAACTTGATTCCCTTCTCTCTCACTTGTCATCAATGACCATCATGGTCCTTTGCCATCATCAACCAATTTCTATCCCCTTTTCAGTGCACCAGCTGTCTAACGTACTTATGTAGCTTCGCCAAAGCCTCCTGCAGCACTGCAGTCTCACAGACATACCCCACTCGTACAAACCCAAGGAAATCTTTGCCGCCACCGAAGCAAAGCGAGCCTGGGCAGAACAGAATCCGAGTCTTCTGAAGGAGGTCTTTGCAAAATGATACGTCTTCAACGGGCCGACCGTTGAGACAAAACTGAATGAATGCTGTGGTCCCCGCAGAGGGTTGTGTCCAATGACAAATATCACTATGAGTGTCAACAAATTCTTTCAGGAGGGATAAATTTTTCGCTGCTAAAGCAACATTGCGCTCCAATAATCGATCCTTAACTTCCAATGACAACGCATAACAGGCAACGTGATCGTCTAGTTGAGACACGCTGATGGTTGTGTAGTCCCGAGCAGCGATCAGCTTTTCCAAGATAGCCCGGTCTCTCGAAGCGACCCAGCCTATCCTTATTCCCGCCAGTGCGAATGCTTTCGACATGGACCCAGTAACTATAATTTTCTCATACTCCAAGGCGGTGGCTGGAGGCGGAGAACTAGGGTCGTTATGTCCGTTGTGAAATAGGGGACGATACACCTCGTCTGACATGAGAATGATACCCTTCTCTTGGGCCAAGGCGGCGATCTTCTCTAGTATTCCGCTGGGAATTACTGCACCAGTTGGGTTGTTTGGATTGTTGATAATAATCATCTAAGCAACAGCTTTTGTTAAACATGATTCACATCCAAGTGGCCGGAATGAACCGTTATCACATACCTTGGTATTGTCCCGAATGAGAGTACTCAGGTCATCAACACTAGGGATATAGCCAGCCTCTGGCCGCAGAGCCCACAAGGATACATCAGCTCCAAGGCTAGCTGGGACAGAATATAACTGCTGATAGGTTGGGTAGGCGCAGACAACATGATCTCCAGGCCCGATCAGGCCATATAGAACAAGGAAGTTTGCGTTTATGGCACCTTGTGTTATTATGACATTATCCTCGGTCAAGCAATGTCGACTGGCGTCGCTGCACAGAGCGGCGACTCTCTGTCGCAAGGCTGGAGATCCTAGAATGGGGCCATACGTAAGTTTGAGAGATGTCGGTATGCGCAAAGGGTTAAGCTTGTCGTCGGAGAAATGGGAGAGCTCGTCAATAGAAATCGAAGAGCAGCACGTTTCAGCGACGTTCAAAACGTCTGGCGTGTTCTCGTATGTATCCATCCATTGCTCTACCTCAAATGGCTTGAAGGGAACCATTTTTTTAGCGATGTCAAACTAAAATGTAAAGCAGTAGAGGTCAAGCGAAGATAGTTCAACTCCGTTATCGTTAATCAAGTATAATATGGATGAGGATTTCATGTAGACTGGAGTTTCACTTTGGGGAAACCTCTGGAAAGGAATTGACAAGATGTAAAGAGGAACGGGAAAGAGACCGTGGCTTCTAACTACGGCCAACCTCTTTAAACCTAAAAAAATGGTATAAGCATGGACTACCGTGGTATCCATGCATCCCTTTGAGTGTGCGAAGCTGCGACTTTTGTAGCTGACCCATCTTTCTGCGATACCTAAAGTATGTAAGTACTGGGAACCTTCAATGTTTCCTGCAGCCAAGGCCAGCCACTACAAGACGCAAAAGAGCCCCGTACGCCGAATTCGGCTGCGATAAGTGCGATGTAGCTTTATGTAAAGCTAGAGATTACTGGTACTTGTACCACTATATGTTGCACTGGTGTTATATCTTGGTGGGGCTATGTACCTTTTAGTAATTGGCTTTCTATTCGCCCACACCCCGATCCGAAGCTGCAACTTCGCACACTCACAGGGATAGAAAATACATACCTAGGTACCTAGATGCCACTGCACATCCCAGGTACCTACTTAGAGGGTAGGCGCCTTAATGGGCAAAGTAAAAAATACTCTTAGTAAATACCTACTAGCTATCTATACACGTCACGGTGGCACTACTTACCGGCAAGCACTATTAAGTAGAAGGCACCTGAGGATGGTTGAGTTCAACGAATCAGGGGTATTGCTTTTGTGCTTCTGAACCAATGATGCTGATCCGACATGCGGGGGTGGAGTGCCATTTGAGTCGGGGGACCTGTATGTACTTGCTTAGTGGGTAGTAAGTAGTAGTACTGCCGCTAGGCCTTAAAACACGTCGACTTGTAGCCAGAAAGCTTAGTCTTGGACTCTTAGCTCAGCAAAATGAGCACAGACCCACGACTCTGGCGACGTCACGATTCCACACAGTCGGGCCGGCTGTCCTTAACATCACTTCCTGCGCTCTTATCCTTTTGATTTCTGCGATTGTATCCCTTTTGCATTTGCATATTTTGTCGTCATGGCTCTTTTATCCCGGAGAAGCTTAGTTTTCGGCGCCGTACTTTATCTCCCCTTGCTAGTAGCGGCCTTAGGGAACTCAACGTACCAGGACATTGATATGCTACGGTCTAAATTGGCTTTGATGGATGACCGTCCCGGTGACTGTCCCCCTTGGTGAGACTTACTGAAGAAACTACGATGTCTCTGTTTCTAACCATAGGTAGCTTCAACTGTCTTCTTCCATCTCATGTCTGCGCCCAATACGCTGGCTGCAACGAGTTCAATGGAAAGTGCGATTGCCCAGCAGGCTTCGGTGGTGACGACTGCCTCCAACCTCGTACGTGCTGCGTCTAAACAGAAATGTGCAAACAGATTGGACATGGTCGTTATATCAGTGATTGATCGTATGTTAACAAATCCTTGTTGTTTAGTCTGCGGCTCTCTAGCAAAAGGTCGAGACCGACAGATGCGATCCGGTGATACCTGCGAGTGCGACGAAGGTTGGACAGGAATCAACTGTAATGTTTGTACAGATAACAGAGCTTGCAACTCTATGGTAGAAACCGGAAATGGTGGCGTCTGCTATCAAAATGGAGAGGTTGTACGAAATAACCACCAAATTTGCAAAGTCACCAACAGGAAAATCACGGATCTCCTCGGTGAACAACGACCTGAAGTAACTTTTACTTGCCAGAAAGACGAAAGGGCATGCGATTTTCAATGTATGCCTTCCATTTATTTCCTTCTTGAATGTAACATTTTCGGAAACTAACGTCCTTGCGGCAGTTTGGGTCGACGCTGTCGAATCATTTTATTGCAATCTAAGCGATTGCGATTCAAATGCCGAGTTTGGGGACACTAAGAACACAACTGCCTACAACTGCGATAAAATTCGATGTAGCTGCATCCCAGAGCGCATGCTGTGTGGCAAGGACGGGTCAATAGATCTGAGCGATTTTCTCGACCAGGCAATTCGCGGCCCTGGAGGTTTTCAATGCACCCAAAAGAACGGCGGCGCTCACGACTGCGCCTTTAAAGAGCCGGAGATGGACAAACTGATCCGCAGCCTTATTGGCGATTCTAGCATCCTGCTTGATTGCCAGGCTGGAGAATGTTTGCATGAGACCCAGGTTCCAGGTTACACAAGACCAGTTAAGCAAATCAACACACCTCTTATTGCCGGGGTTATCGCTATTTGCGCACTTTTTGTTGTGGCTATCATCATCATAACATGGATTCTATCGCGGCGGAAGCTGAGATACGGTGCTATTCGCCTGGAAGACTCCGATGACGAAACAACCAAACTCATGGCTGAGCACAAGCCCGCTACGTTATATTTTGAAAACATCTCATATCAAATGAATGGCAAGTCTATTCTCAGTGGCATTCAAGGACTATGTCACCCTGGTGAGGTAACAGCAATTATGGGCGCTTCTGGCGCCGGAAAGACGACCTTCCTGGATATTCTCGCTCGCAAGAACAAGCGTGGCGTAGTAGAAGGCGACGTCTATATTAATGGCGAGAAGGTTGGCAGCTCAGAGTACAAAAATGTTATTGGGTTCGTCGACCAAGAGGATACCATGCTCCCTACGCTCACCGTTCATGAGACAATTCTGAACAGTGCGCTCTTGCGACTGCCTCGCGATATGAGTCGCACGGTCAAAGAGCAGAGAGTCTTCGACGTAGAGAAAGAACTCGGAATATACCATATTCGGGATTCACTGATTGGGTCCGAAGAGGGCAAGGGGCGCGGTATCTCTGGTGGTGAGAAGCGCCGCGTCGGCATAGCGTGTGAACTGGTCACGAGTCCGTCTATTCTCTTCCTTGACGAGCCAACGAGCGGTTTAGATTCTTTCAACGCCTACAATGTTATCGAGTGTCTTGTTACTCTGGCAAAGAGTTATCAACGCACAGTTGTATTTACGATCCACCAACCACGATCTAACATTGTGGCTTTGTTCGACCGTCTTATTCTGTTGGCGCGAGGCAAAACAGTTTTTTCCGGCCCTTTTGCACAGTGCCAACCGTATTTTGACTCTATAGGCTACGAATGTCCTCAGGGTTTCAACATAGCCGATTATCTAGTCGACCTCACTATGCATGCCGGCCGAAGAGTTTCCATCGACGACGGGACTGTGGCGATAGATACGGTTAGTGTCGGCCCCAGCAGCACAAAAGCAGTAAAGTCGATAGCAAGTATTTCGGGAAACAGCACGGGAGAAGATAGCTTTGCAGAACCGTCAGCATCACCCAGGCCGAGAAACTTCCGCCGGGACTCGATCCGGCAACGGCAAGAACGCCAGTTATTCACTCGACGAAAGCAAACTATTGACACTGCAGCCTCTTCCGATGCCGGCGGAGATGAGGCGGGCAACTATAAGCTTCAGCTGAATCCCACAAACGCGCTATTGTCGCAAACAAGAGATGACCTACATGATCTCCCCCCCGCCGCCGTATCAGGCTCCGACCTTGATCTCATGACACGGGCATTTTCCCAGTCTCAAATAGCACAAACGACTCATCAGGAAATCCGTCAAGCAGTAATAGGTGCGGCTCAAGCTAATGGGTCGAATGCCAACAGCCACAGCGAAGATGGGCCTAGCACTACGCTCAGTGCTGTTGGCCGAGGTTACGCACGTGTGGGATACTTGGGACAATTCACGATTCTTTCGCAGAGAACTTGGAAAAACCTCTATCGGGATCCGATGCTCATGCTTACACATTATGCAATAGCCATAATTCTAGCCGTTTTCTCAGGATACCTCTTCTACGGTCTAACAGATGACATTCCAGGCTTTCAGAATCGTCTTGGCCTATTCTTCTTTCTTCTAGCCTTGTTTGGATTCAGCACTCTAACTAGTTTAAATGTATTCTCAGCGGAGCGGTTACTGTTTCTGCGTGAGCGAGCAAACGGTTACTACTCTCCGATCACATATTTCACCGCCAAAGTTCTATTTGACATAATTCCGCTGAGAATTGTTCCACCAATCCTCATGGGATCGATTATTTATCCGATGACTGGGCTAGTGCCTGATTCATCACATTTCTTCAGATTTATGTTAGTTTTGGTGCTCTTCAATCTGGCTGCTGCTGCCGTCTGCTTGTTCGTTGGTATCCTATGCAAAAATGGAAGTGTTGCGAACTTGATTGGAAGTTTGATTATGCTTTTCAGCCTTCTTTTCGCCGGATTTCTTCTCAATCACGATGCGACACCTCCTGGGGCATTATGGCTTCAGTCAGTTTCAATCTTCCACTACGGATTTGAGTCACTCATAGTTAATGAGGTTGTCGAGTTGACCCTAGTCGACAAGAAATATGGACTTGACATCACCGTGCCTGGCGCTGCTATTTTGAGTTCTTTCGGCTTCGACAATGGTGCCTTGTGGTCAGACATTCGCAATTTAGGCATCTTTGCTATAACCTTCATAATCCTGGCATATGCGGCGATGCATTTCCTGCTTGTGGAGAAACGATGAAGGCGAGAAATACAGAGGATTAGCTATGATGTCAGGGACGTCATTTCTGCTGCGCACATGTTGTTAGATATTAGACATCGACGAGTCTGAGGCATCTTGTTTCATTTTGTCCTGTTTTCTGGCCCGCCCCGAGCTGAGCCTTTACAAGATGACTGGTTGAATTGTGTACACAAATAAATAATGTGGGCTATGAGGGTCGGGCTTCCGCAATCACAGCTACCTAGGCAGTTATTAAGAGCTTTCAATTATTATACAGGTAGTTTCCCAATCAATTACCAAACTACATTTATTGTACAGACTGTGCGTCTAGATCATCTTTCCGCCAGTCAAGTCCTCTGCTATTCTCTTTTGTCGTTTGGCTGAACGGTCAGATTCGGTTTGATCAGCTTCCATGATCCTAGTTGACGTTCCAATAGCCGACTCCATCATGTTGGCAATAGAGGGCGGTTTGCCGTACGATCCCCACATATTCCCTGTTGTGCCATGGCGATGGCCATCTTCACTCCTTTTGCGGAAGTAATCTTCGGCGAAAACCTCATCAATCTTCGCCTTCAACTCATTCTCATGCACGATAAAATTCGACGCGCTTGTGTAAAGCTCCATCAGCGCATCCCTCCTAGCTTCCATCTTCTGTTTCTCCTTTGCAAGAACCTTTGTGCGACTTCTATCTGCGCGAGCAAACCGATCCGGATCAGGGTACACTTTTGTATCCATAATAGCAGTCAAAACCGTAGGTCGTGTGAGCTTGTCGTCGTCTCTTTCCGGAGCCGCACCAGCCTTGTTATGCTTATAGAACTTGTGGCTTACACGTTCATTGCGAGATCTATCCATTTCCCGACGGCGAAGCCAGAGTGCATCTAGACCTTCTTTGAGATTGGTACGTCTAGTTTCTGCCAAGGCAGTTTTCCATTCCTGTGCCTCCGACGGTGATTCACGGGAGGATTTTGTTGATCGTGGTGCGGTTTTCTTTATGTATTCGGGTTGAATTTTGCGGCTGCCTTCCACACGAGGAAAAATCTCACGCGGAACTGGGAGATGACCACGTACTCGAGGAGGTTTGGTCTCATCGGACTGAGGTGGAGTAGGAAGGCGGATGTAAGATGGTGATTCTGGAGGCACGCGGATCGTTTGGGCAGGGGCTGATGTTGAAAAGTTCGCGTGGGAAATTGAGAGAGCTCGTCGTAGCTGGAGACGAATATGGGACCCAGGGGCACTAAGAGACATGGCGTCGGCGCAGTTTCTGTTGATGTATCGCAGCGAAGGATTATCTGCTTCAACCGCTGAGTTGACAAGGTCAGCTCTCAAAAAATTATGATGCATATCAGCAGGCCCGGATTATCTACTTCCGCAATCCCCACTGACTAGTCTTTAAATTAGCCAACCACCCAGTTTATAAGTTTAGGTGGGGCTCGCCTGGTTTAAAACGGGCACATAAAAAAAAAAGGCAAGCCCATTTCTTCACATCCTCAACTCACCTACCAACAACTCGCCCGGGAAGGGTTTTAGACATCATGGGGACAGGTAAGAAAGAGGCCAACAGGCGAATTCGCCAAGGGAAAACTGGAGATGGCCTTGCAAATGTTCGCGTCAAGGGTGAGAACTTCTATCGGTACGTCTCGTATCTCACATTTTCAGTTGTGAGCCAGTCTAACAGCTTCATGCAAGCAATGCGAAGAAAGTCAAGACCTTGAATATGTACAAGGAGGGGAAAGCGCAGAGAAATTCGGAAGGGAAAATCACGAAGGCAGCTTCTTTCCAGTCCCGAGATGTCCCAGATGCTCGAATCGAGCCGAACCGAAAGTGGTTCACAAATACTCGTGTTGTGTCGCAGGACACACTCAAGGCATTCCGTGATGCCATGGCAGAGAAGGCAAATGATCCATATCAGGTCCTCCTAAAATCAAATAAACTTCCCATGAGCCTCATCCGAGATGGTCAAGATGCTAAGGGGATCAAGCAACATGATGCTAAAGTGGCGGTGGAAACATCACCTTTTGCAGAGGTATTCGGTCCAAAGGCGCAGCGCAAACGAGTCAAGCTTAATGTTAGCAGTCTGACAGATCTCGCCGGAGATACTGAGAAGAGTATGGACACATACGAAGTCCGTTTAGAGCAAGCTAGACTGCTGAGCGGAATATCAGGCCAGGATGAAGAGGAGCGACAGGTGGCGATGGCAATTGAGCCTGTCTTCGACAAAGGCCAGAGCAAACGAATTTGGAATGAGCTGTACAAGGTCATTGATTCCTCCGACGTGGTCATTCACGTCCTTGATGCTCGTGACCCAGTGGGAACCCGTTGCCACAGCATCGAGAAGTATCTCAAAGAAGAGGCGCCACACAAGCATTTGATTTTCGTACTGAACAAGTGTGATCTTGTTCCTACCAGCGTCGCTGTAAGTTCTTACAATATTTTCCGTTGCCACAAAACCTTGGTCCCATGTCCCTCAAACTCGATTCGCAACCCAATGTCTTTTGTCAGGACACCTTCCATTCTTTTCTCACGAAGGTTGTCTGTTACAGCGTTGGAATATCAATCATATCATACTCGTCTGTCATTAACCTGCGTTGGTGACTTGATGTGTGCCGTTCTGGCACTGTCTTGAGTTGGTATTTGTGTCTAATGAGTTGAAATCTTCATCATCCTTAAGGGGAAACAAACTGGAGACTTCTTAGTGATGACACATACACTCCCTCGTTTTAAACACGTCGCGTTCTTGCGGTAAAATATTTGTGCGCTAACTGAAGGCCAGGCCTCCTGGGTTCGAAATCTATCTAGGGAATACCCCACATTAGCCTTCCATGCTAGCATCAACAACTCGTTCGGCAAAGGATCCCTAATTCAGTTGTTGAGACAGTTTTCCTCTTTACACGCAGACAGGAAACAAATTTCTGTTGGACTAATTGGAGGGCCAAACACCGGCAAATCGTCCATCATTAATACGCTTTTGAAAAAAAAAGTCTGCGCAGTGGCCCCAATTCCTGGGGAGACCAAAGTCTGGCAATATGTAAGCCTGATGAAGAGAATTTACCTTATTGATTGCCCAGGTGTGGTCCCTCCGTCTAGTACCGATACTCCCACCGACCTCGTTCTACGTGGTGTTGTCCGGGTCGAGAAGGTAGAGCATCCGGAGCAATACATCACTGCTGTCCTGGACAAGGTGAAGCGCCATCATATGGAGAAGACGTACGATCTTAAGGGATGGACCAACGCGGTTGAACTTCTTGAGCTCCTTGCCAGGAAAAGTGGCCGTCTTCTTCGCGGAGGGGAACCCGATTTAGATGGCGTTGCTAAAATGGTCTTGAACGATTTTATGAGGGGCAAAATTCCTTGGTTTACACCTGCCCCGTCTAGAAACACTGATGACAATGGCGTCACCGACCGTGACGGGCGGCTCGGCGAGATGCCAAAGAAACGTGACCTGGAAGATGCCGGCGATACTTCCAACTCCGTTTCCGCGAAAACAGCTGCTAATCAGCCGGGAAGCGGGAGGGGTTACGACCGTGAAGAGGTCTTTGAAGGATTCAGCAGCGACTACGATGCTCCGTCACCGACGGACCTGAAGGATGGTTCGTGTGTTGCATCGTCTAGTCCCAGTACATCAACAAGCAAACGACGCAGAAAAACATGAAATCTGAATGTCGGTTTGTGTAACCCATGTTCTCCAACTGCAGCCTTTGCATGTCATCTTTATGGAGCTAGGAGTTCAACACCTGTACTACCTACGCTGAATCAAGCTCAGTCTTGGGACAATGCTTCCGACAGGTGGTTCCAGGTATTATGATCCGCTTGGCCGAGTAGTACCGATTCACGTCGCGAGCTCTGTTGGGGGAATGAGTGTTGTGTCTTTCATCGCTGTGTCTCACGCTATAGCTTGCAATTGCATGCTCTGAACTCGGTATATAGAAACGGCATGGGCATCAACGGCCAGCAGACTATCGATTCACCGAATAACGTACAGAAGCCAGCACGAATAGCGACTTTGAAGCCATCTGGTTGTCACTCGGTACGACGCGATCAGATCCAGTCTTTGTCTGAGAGTATACTTTATTGGCGAAGAATAGCAGGTCTGGGCAAGAGTGGACTTTTGAGGTGGCATACTACTATATGCAGCTCCAAAGCTGGCCAAGACGCCAGGGGCTCGAGCTCGACTCATACATGATGACTAGGGTAATTGCGAGGCCAGTTTGGCAGTGTCGTTCGTGTTTCGTTGGGGTATGACCTAACAGTATCCGAGCTCTGTACAGCGACGTGCCCCTGGCTCGAGAAGAGAGACTTCTAACATCCAGCCTCATTAGCGGAGTCTGGCAAGAATATTGTGGCATGGGCTACGTCAATAAAATGCTGTTCGGTTTCAAGTGTCATATTGAGTATTCCAGTGGATACTATCAGTCCTGGGCTACGTTATAGCTCGATCTATGTCATGCGAACGCTGCGATATGTTACACTATATGCAAGTTGGGGGCATGTATTTAGTCTTCACCTACTTGGTAATTCTGTCTGGTGGGATTGGGTTGTCGCGCCTGCCTTTCGATACAGTGTACGGTGTTGTCAGTATCAGCACTGCTTCGTGTTCCAGACGCCGAATACACGGCTCGTGAATGTTGGGCTATCAATGCCTTACCCTACAGCATGTCGCTTTCTGTGGCCGAGAATGCGGTAAATGAGGTACCCCCGCCATATGAATACGTTACCTTTGCGCGTCAGTTCGTGTACTTCTCAGCGTCATCACGCCTGTCGGTTATTGCAAGACAGCTTGCTGGGATATTCTGCCGGTGTGTGGCAATGTGTAGTAGTCTTGGTCGGCCGGCCAGATACGAGAATTGGGGGTCTAAGGGGTTAGTATTGTTCTCGAGCTCTACGTGTTGTAAATGCTGTAGTATCATATAACAAGTACCACGTCGCTGCACAGTACCCTGGGCGAATACGTACCTAGGTTTACAAAGTGAATAAGCATATCCGTAAGTTGCACCGTGCCTGCCGTCAGTATTGCCCCACTCATGTTCGCAGATAGCCAGTGGTAGCGGGTGAACTACTAGTTCACATCTCTTGCATCAGCGTCAAAGAGATAGCTCGCCAAAGACAATAGCTTACCGGTCGCCAGACAGCATACCATGGGCTCTTCGGCCTCCAAGATTGGCCGCGCGGCTCCGGCGGTTGCACGGCGATATCCACCGTGGGAATATAGTGGTCAGGCGCCGCCAAATCTGCGTCCTGCTGACCAGAGTACACGACAATCAAGGCAATCAAGGGGCAATAGCAAAATGGGCGATGGTATTTGACGTGTTTACCCCACTAGATGTATTTCATTGTGCCCACAGCCAGTCAATACATACTAACTTTCAATCAATAGAAGCAAAAGCAGATGGAAACGACCCTGACTTCGCACCTGCCGACTTCTCCCAACGTCTCCATGAAATGGGCATGGTACAACCGAATGTAACATTCTCACCGTCATCAACAGCCAAAAATGATGTCCGAAAAGTGGCAAGCGATCCTTCAATGATTCAATACCCGCCAAACAAACAGAATGCTACATTATCGGTCCTGGAAGCCCGTCGACATCTCCAACAACAGGCGAATGATGATATCGCTAAAACCGGACTACATGGAAGGCAGTACAAAAGATTCGTCGACATGAGGATCTTGATCAACACCATCAAACTGCGGGATCAGGGTATGACATATGCGGAAATTGAGGAGCGCCACTGCCTCGAGCCTGGAACAGTCAAAAAACTTGGTCGTCATGGAGTTTTTTCACATGTCTCTGCAACTAGGTAACAAGACATCGTGGCATGGATGCCGTCCAGGCTTCGTATACGTAGCATTCTTTTCTTCATCGAAATACAACAATCCCGGTCAACCAAAAAATGGCGCTTTTCAGGCCATCAAATAAAATCAATGGCAATTGAATTCACCAAGCTGCATGGCCTCCGTCGATACGAAGGTCACTACCCGTCATGAAACTACTGGCATCACTCAGCAGAAACACAGCTGCACCGCGGAACTCATGAGGCATGCTCAGGCGGTTGAGCATGTTTTCTGTCGGCCATAAGACCTTGCGCTCGGGAAAGTCGTCGAAAAGATTCTGTAACATCTGGGTCATAATATAGCCCGGCGAGAGGGAGTTTACTCTGATGCCATGCTGGCCCCATTCCGCCGCCAGACTCCTGCATAATTGAATGACGGCTGCTTTCGATGCATTGTATGCCCTATAATATTCCGCTTTGTTATTCTTTCCTACCGTGGTAGAGTCTCACTTGTTTCTCCTCCGAAATTTTGGAACTGAAACTTGAAAACTGGCCCAGTAACTACTTACGGTGCGTACATGCCCTTGTTGGCGATGGTGCCACTCATACTGGCGATGAGGCAAATGCTACCTGGCTGTTTGAGACGAACCATTTGACGAGCGGCTGCCTGTGCTGTCATGAAGACGCCTGTAACGTTAATGCTCATTATACGATTGGCCACGTCGGCGCTATGCTCCAGAGCCTGGGTCTCGTGATTGATGCCTGCTGCTGCAATAAGTCCGTCCAGGCGATTAGACTGGTTGGCGATGTTTTCCATGATTTTGTTTAAAAGCGCAACATCCCTGACATCTGCTTGGTGATAAGTTAAAGCAGTACCAAGCTCGTCCTTTGCCCTCTGGGAGACTTCCGAGAAGGGCGAACTGAGATCATTGGCAGGAGAGGGGAGCCTGTCAATAGCGTGGACTAAGAGTATTTGAATTGTTTAGTAAATTGTCTGAATACATATTATTGAATTGGAACTATTTCCATGGTTGACAAGATGGCTATACATACCTGTTGCGCCTGCCTCGAGCAGGGCCTCTGCCTGGACAAGGCCCAGTCCTCGGGCACCACCGGACACAACCACTACTTTGTTCTTGAGCGAAAATTCGGGCAGTAAGCGAGACTTTGTACTGGAAACGATGTTGCGGCTTCTCGCGGAGCTATGTGAAGCCCCCCGCTGGATTGAGTGAAGCGGCCCAGGGACAACAGCGGACACTGTGCTACGGGAGGCATTGACCAACTGCCTGAATGCGGGGGCGGACCCGGACATTCCTCTTAATGCCATATCAAATGGTATCAGCTGATGATGGAGACTGAGTTAAGCTTTGAGAAATGGTAATGCGTGCATGTGAGAGAGGTCGGGCCATGTTAAAGAGCCTGCCTGAGAACGAGGAGCAAACCCTCTTTTTGTACGAGCGTACTATTACTACCTCCTCCTAGTATGGAGGTACCTACTGCCTGGCTGGGAATTTGCCGCAGATGTCTTCCACATAAAGCCACCGGAACGAGTCTGGTAACGGACATATCAGAACGAAATGTTTGCGGCTTTGGGGCGTCACGAATGAGAGGCGCAGTTGTGGTGGGCGAGCATGACGTCAACGGTACTTGGGCGTGAATTGCTCCGCGGGCTCACTCTTTTTGCCCATCAGCAATAAAATAACTATGGCAAAAGAAGATGCGCGCGCGGGGTGCGACCACGAGGCCAACTGCTTAGCCCGCTAGCAGGTGGCAACTACCTAGGTACCTAGGTACTATCGACAAGTACTCATGTACAAGTAGTACTCCGTACATAGAGCCAGAAATGAAATGTGCACAAGAGTGCGGAGTACGTACTGGCATGGGCCTACTTGGCATCATGCTACAGGCACATTGCCACTAGGCCGTGCTCAACTGTCGTTTACCTCTAAATACCTGCCCAACTGCCTGCCTACTACCTTCTACTAGTACTTAAGTAGGTAACGTGGGACACAAACGGGGATCGTTAATTGAATTTGCTGTTAATTGTGACTTTGTGAGGGACCAAATATATTACTAGGCTTTGTTTGTGTACTAGGTACATAGGCACTTGGTATTCATCGCCGAGTATTACTACTGGATATATCGAACTCGATTCTTTCAACTCGGCGGGGGCCATGTATCTAGATATCTTACATCTATCCATCTAGCTTTGTATCCATTGAGCAGAAGTGACCGATGTGGTATAAAGCATGGCAACCAAGCCCACAATCATTATGGCCATGTCCAACGCCTTTGCCCATGAAGATTCCGCAATACCCTTATAATGCAGATACGCCGGGTAGATGTATACAAGTGGCACACATGCAAAACTTCCAATCAAGGCCACAAACTTGTCCAAATCGCTGGCACCAACGATACTGATGCCAACACAGAGACCCATTACTAGGGTCCTAGCCGCATTCTTCTGCCACTTAATGGCAAGGCTCTTCTTGCCAGTAGCTCTCTCCCCAAACAATGACGTTTCAATGATACGTACGGCTGGAAACAACTGGACAGGCTCGCCTGCTAGGACGGCAAGAGAGTACAGTAATTGCACCGCATTGACTACCACTGAGTCCTGGGGAAAGTTGGAAATGATCTGAATCTTCGTTTCTTCGCCAAAAGTAGCATAACAAAGGGCACCGACTGATGTGAAGAAGACTGTAATGAGCAACATCACAAAGTATAGTAGCCCACTGAATTGTTCCGGTTTCTTCATGCTGGACTGAATAGGCAAGATGAGACCTATACCCTCGAAAGTGAAGATGGCAGAACCTATAGTCAAAGTGAATGCCGAAGGATTGAACAGTTGCACGCTAGGTGCCATTCCATGCGTTGCCAAGGCCCGTATATCAAATTGCCAAATGTATACAAGGCCAACAAGAATAAAGATATCAGCAAGCAAGGCGGCGGGCCCTAACTTGGAGATTTTTCGAATGAGGACCAGTGGCACAAGAGGTAGAAGCTGCAGAGCAATCAGGCTCGGTACCCCAACATCAACATTTCTTTGGCCCCGAGTTACAGCATCCAAGAAGGAATATAGGTTTTCTGCAGTAAAGATCAGTCCGGTGCAGACGAACCCCAACTGGGATAACGCAATCGAGCCGAGAATGAGACCGCGGAACTTGGGACCAACGATGGACGCTCCGAGTTCGCCATAGCCGCCGCCATATCTCTGCCGACAGTCAAGCAAGAGGCGAAAGCACAGGCAGTTGATCAGTGACACAGCCACCAACGTCAGGGACGAGAAGAGGATACCCCCATTACGAAACGCTTTGGGAAGAAACATAATGCCAGTTCCAATGAAGGCTTTGAGAAGTGTGAAGAAGGTTTTCACAGTGCTAGCATCGCCTTCTCGTGCCAACCGCCTGGAGCTTCTGCGTCGTCGTGTGAATGGGCGATCAATGAGTGGCCGGCGTTCGTTTGGCTCGTCTACGTCATGGTCGTCGATCGCAGACTCATCCTCGGATGTGTCTTCATCTTCTAAATCCTCGCCGGCAAAACTGCCATATAGGTCTAGAAAATCGACGAAGTTCTTCGTAATGATCACAGTGCCACTAAACCTCCGACGATGCCTGCCGTGGTGTGCATGTTCGTCAGCCGGGCCCAAACGTGGAGATGGTTGATGGGAGAATGTCGCAGCTCGCCGCAGTGAATTCGCCTGGGCTTTAATCTTGAACATGTCACGGTGTATATCTCCACCTTGTAGCTTTAGCGATGATTCGAGAGTCTCTGACGACAAGTCATCGGGGTTAGTTGATGATGATTCGGCGATACCAACCCCAGGCAAGACTGTCGTCGTCGATGGCCCCAAGACTTGTTCCACGCTTCGTCCATGTTCCGCTATGCTTTCTACCGTGGGTTGAGACGATAAGCTCACTTCTGGGTCAGCGGAGTAGCCTTCCGGGAGATATCTGTCGAGAATGGCGCCGTGCCGTAAGCTATTCGGGGTCGCGTCATGGTCGTCCATGACAGGGACTTGATGGAACGAGGAAGATGCTAGTCGAGAAGATAGTGAGATTGCTTAAGTTGTTGTTCGGCATTCCCAAATAAGATTTCCGCAAGTCATGTAGGGATTCCAACTGAGCTGCCTACTAGGCCTAATAGGTGTGTAAATTCTTTTTTGTAATGGTTTTTTTAATGCTCGTTACTGTCCTCAGAGCCTCGGGGTGTACAAATTTATTGTGCTGGTCGACTATGTAGGCTTTTTATTTTTATTTTTATATATGTCTTTTTTCCAGTAAATCAAATACGACTCAAAGCCAATCAAAAAAAAAAATTTACCAGGCGCGCGAGGTAATTAAAATTATTATGCTTTTTTTTAAGAGATAAATAATAATACCTAGAAATTACTTTTTTTATTTATTTTAATCCTTACCCCCCAAAAAACTTTTACTCTAAAAAAAATTAATATTAGCGCTTAGATTTTTTTTTTAGAGGCCCAATAATTTTGGGCGCCCTGTAATTGCAGCGCGAAAGCCCTTGAAACACGTTAAAAAAAAAAGGCGCTGGGCTTTACGAATTAAGAAAAAAAAGAAGGAATATTAAAAGATTAAAAAAAACTCCCCCCCAACAGAACTACAAAAACATAAAAACACACACACACAAGCCTGCCTGTGTTATCGTGCAAGCGTAACATCGGTAAGGAACAGGAAGAGACCAGAAAAATTATATTAATTGTTGGTTGATTCGCTCTGTAGTCAAATGAAATTACACGCATGATACAGGTATCGTGCAAGCGTAAAATCCAAAACAGTATTGGGCTGTACCAATTATATTAAAATAATTATCAAAAATTGGGATTGCTATAATCCCATACCTAGGATGCATGCTCGCATAACTGCATAATTATCAAGGGCTATTATTGCATATTGATTGTCAATTCGGTCGCTCGGTTTAAGGGGGTCACGTCACCACTGGGGTATGAAGAGCTAGTTGCTTCATAAAACCTGTTATGGCGGCGTGTAGATATCTCTCTCTCTGCGATCTTCGTTCCACGGTTTGTGGCAATTGTTTTCTTTTCACTCATTAGTTTTGCGGACAGTGCGCACCTCATCGTTATTGAGCATCGATCACGGATCTCCACGACGTTATTATCCTCGCGAGACGACTTGCGACCGTTACTGTCAAAATGGGCGACAAGAAGAACGAGGACTTTGTCGTGCAAATATCTGATAGGGGCTTTGCTGGAAATGAGAAGGAGGCTTTCACGACCAAGGCTACTCCATCGGGAACCCGTGGGCAAAATGAATTCAGCCAGTCGTTGTCAAAGTTGGACAACAGCCCCCCGCTCTCCGTTGTGGCCTATTGTTTCTCTTCTATCAGTATGACTGTTGTAAACAAATATGTGGTATCAGGAACGTTTTGGAATCTGAATTTCTTCTATCTTGCCATCCAGGTATTGCGACCTTCCTCTCCAGACTCCAGGCAGTGTGGGAAAATCCTGAGATATGTGAAATGCTCATAACCCATAGGCAGTTGTTTGCATCGCGGCCATTTCGGTCTGCAAATCTCTCGGACTTATACAAAATCTCGCACCCTTTGACCGGAACAAGGCTAGAAAATGTTAGTGATGCATCTCTCCAATACTCTCGTGTTGAATACGTTCGTATATGAGACTGATAGTTTGAATATGATGTGCAGGGTTCCCGATCTCGCTCCTACTCGTCGGTATGATCTATACTAGCACCAAAGCATTACAGTTTCTTTCTGTTCCGGTATACACGATCTTCAAGAACTTGACCATTATCGTCATCGCTTATGGTGAAGTTTTGTGGTTTGGTGGCAGCGTGACTCCGCTTGCCCTGTTATCGTTCGGGCTTATGGTTCTCAGTTCCGTGGTTGCTGCCTGGGCAGATATACAGAGCGCGATCGCTGGCGACTTCGGACATGCTGACTCCTCGGCAGCCATGTCTACCCTAAATGCTGGGTACGCATGGATGGGGTTGAATGTCTTTTGCACCGCGTCGTATGTGCTGGGCATGCGCAAAGTGATCAAGAAGATGAACTTTAAAGACTGGGATAGTAAGTGCCGTCTCCTTAGACCCGGATGTCGCCGGAGCGCAGAGAGTGACTCCAGCAAAGACAATTTCAAAAGAAGCAAACTAACTATCGACAAAATAGCCATGTATTATAATAATTTATTAACGATCCCTGTCCTCTTCATATGTTCGTTACTGGCAGAAGATTGGTCGGGTACCAACTTCGCCAAGAACTTCCCTGACGAATCGCGTAACCGGATTATCATCGGCATGGTTTACTCTGGATTAGCAGCAATATTTATCTCGTACTGCTCTGCGTGGTGCATCAGAGTCACATCATCCACCACGTACTCAATGGTGGGAGCCCTTAACAAGCTGCCCATCGCCATCAGCGGGCTAGTCTTCTTTGCGGCCCCAGTCACATTCGGCAGTGTGTCGGCCATCGTCATTGGGTTCGTGAGTGGCATTGTTTATGCGTGGGCTAGAGTGCGGCAGTCAAGCGGTTCAAAAGACTCCCTCCCAACTAGCCGTCCGCCCATGAGCGCCAGCTCTCAGAGCAGCCGAGACGCCGCAAATTCTTGAGATGATGGCTTCTGAGCTTGCACATACTTTCGGTAGAGGTGGAAATGGTCGATAACTCTTCTGTACAATACAATACACTGTGTTTTTCGATGCGAGTTTATTAGAGTATAAGACAAATATTATGTGGTTATTCTTAGCTCGAGATGCTGTCAAATGGCCGTCTCGGGAGTATCCCAAGAAAAGTGGGAAGGGCGTTTGGTTGTACTAGCTATAACGTATGACGAGACGAGGCCGTGTTGTTCAATTGACCTGCACCATGGGCAGGAATATCTATCCATCCGTGTTAATGCATACAATGACAGCAATTCAAACGAGACTACGGTCGTACCATGACAAAGTCACGAGGCTGTTTATTGGAGCTAGGACCGTTTTCGTCATATTCATGCTTATCTAGTTTAAACACTTAATAAATAACGTGGAATGGGCTCTGCCGAATGGAAATGTGTAGGGGCTGGAAGTAAACCAATTAATAGTTTGATTTTGCCAACGTGCTCATAATGCCAACATCTCGATATCAGTCGGTACTTTTAAGTAACTAGCACACCTGCCTGCAGGCTGACACCGGCTCCATATTGGTTAGTGCGCCTACCATTTCGCACTGGGTTAGTAGTGTGTGGTACCTCAATGACGAGACGTGTGGGTTGAGCTCCCCAACGTCATTTTCTGTCCTGCCCTTGTGGCCGCCATCTTGCTTCAAAGGTCTCGGTAGCAATTCACAGATCTTCTGACTACGGTCTTGTATGGACCACCTGCTACGAGCTGGTTGCTCTATTTAACTGTCGAACAGCCTCTGGTTTTTTTTCCCCCCTGGAAAATTACCTTGCGTAATGCGGCCTTGAAGTCCTTTGAAGTTTGCTTTAACTTATTATTCGGCCGGCACCACACCAGTCTGGACAAGATGTTACGCTTCATACACCATCGTACGTTCTCTTCGAGACCATTTCTTGCCCTGTTTCCTTTTGCTAACTTGGAATGTGCCATCAGCCTTTGAAGTGGTTTCGAAGAAACTCGGAGCATCGCCAGACGAACGTGAGCCAGTTCTCTACCGCTTCCGCCACGCCAGACTCGTTTTTCCTGACCTCACCTCGAACTAGTCAAGCTCATTTTTTCCTTTATACTGTCGTATCCTCTGGCAGGACTCCTCAAGCGTGTGCCTGATGCAAAGCCGTATCGCAAAAACCTGTTCATAATAGGGTAACATCCCCTTGTCCGCTCTTTGCGTCCTCCGCTCCCCAACCTCGATTGATCTGCTAACCAATCATCTTGCTTGCCAGGACGTCCATTTTTTACCTGATAGGCCTATTTGATCTTTGGGACGGCCTCTCAACATTAGCTTTAAGCGCAGGCGGTGTGTACCTGATTGCCAAATACATGAAGAACAGCTACTACATGCCATGGGTTGGCTTCATGTTCGTCATGGGCCACATGTCGATCAGCCATATCCGACGCCAAGCCGCGAACAGCCCTTCTTCAGTCGACATCACCGGCGCGCAAATGGTTTTGGTGATGAAGCTGAGCGCCTTCTGCTGGAATGTTGCCGATGGCCAGCTACCCGATGAAGTCTTATCAGATTTCCAGAAAGATCGAGCGCTGTGTGAGCTCCCCAGCATCCTGGACTATGCAGGATACACTTTATTCTTTCCTTCCCTATTCGCTGGGCCAGCATTTGATTACGTTGATTATCGACGATGGGTCGACACCTCGATGTTTGATATGCCGCCCAACGTCGATCCGTCGAAGAAACCTCCTTCTAGGAAGAAAAGAAAAATCCCGCGCAGCGGCACTCCGGCCACCTTCAAGGCCTTTCTCGGACTCTTCTGGATTAGCCTGTTCGTTGTTTTGTCTGCGAGCTATGGTCACGATCAGCTTCTTGTGGACACGTACATGCATCATGCTCTGTGGCGTCGAATTTGGATCATGTACATGGTCAACTTGGTAACTAGACTAAAATATTATGGAGTTTGGACGTTAACTGAAGGATCCTGTATCCTTGCCGGATTAGGGTATAACGGAGTCGACCCCATTACAGGGAAGGTTTTTTGGAATCGCCTGCAGAACGTTGATCCTTGGGTGGTCGAGACTGCACAAAATCCTCGCGGCTACTTAGCTGGATGGAATATGAACACAAACAGCTGGCTCCGGAACTACGTATATCTTAGAGTCACGCCAAGGGGAAAGAAGCCAGGATTTAGGGCTAGCATGATGACATTTGTTACCAGCGCATTCTGGCATGGTTTTTATCCCGGTTACTACTTAACATTTGTCCTCGCCAGTCTCATTCAAACAGCTGCCAAGAGTAAGTGATCGCGCGACCCACACCACGTAACCTCTGCGTGAGATTGATGGCCTCTGATTACCCGCGTGAAAACCATCGAGCTTGGTGCTGAAGTGTGTGACAGATTTCCGA